AACTATTTCTGTTTATTTGCAATATGTTTTGTTACTCAATTATATTTTTTCTGGTTCTTATTACATAAAAATAACAGGACTGTATGAAGATAGTATTCAGAATTACTCTTGAATTTAAGCGTCAGAATCTGGTTCTCTCAGCAAATCTCGTAGATAACTTTTGACTTCTTTAAACGTAGATTAATTGCATGAAAAATATCAATACGCTGAAAAGAACGAATGAGCAGAATGCTCCAAAATATTCAGGATTTGCGAAATAAAAGAGCAACAAATTCAGTTGTTCCGCGTGCTAGAAGCACCCTCGAAGATTCATAAAATGAATTGGCGTGGATGTGCTAATAGCACCACTTATTAATTTGCATTAATGTGCTGAAAGCACCTTACGAAAGCAGAATATAAAGAACGAGGTTTGCTGATAGCAACAAATATGCAACTTAATGCATTAAGCAACTGAATGCTGATCAAAGAACTTAGCTCGTAGCTGCGAGAGAAGTCTCTTTCCTCCCTTTCACACCCGCTCGCTTGTCCTGTCTTTAGAAGGCACTTTGTTTGTTTGCTTGCCACATACGTTCTACGTATTTCGATGATTGTGCTCCAGATATAATCAGTAATTCCAAGTTCCAACTTCAATATCCACAATCAGAACCGATCAAACTCAAATTCTATGCAGAAAGGCCACTCACGAAGTTAATAACATCTGTGAATAACTCAAGAAGGAAAGCAGGACTGTTAAATCAATAAAAAAACAGACGAGCTTCGCTCCATCACCAAGACGAGAAAACGACAGCGTCACAACATTCTCTCTCTTTCTCTCTCTCCTTCTCTCTCTTCTAACATTTCCGCCTGCCGTCGTTAACGAGGGTTAACGAACTTTCTAATCTTATGCTTGAACTGGGAGAGGACAGATCTTTGCAATTGGTCGTTTGAATGTTGAAGTTTGGGTTTTTACTGTTACAACGCGAATGTGTCCGTCCTTTCCTGGGTGAGTCTCAACGATTCGACCGAGAGGCCACTTCGATGGTGGATATCTTTCATCAACTATTAATACTAATGATCCGATAGTCAGCGACGGTTGAGGCTTATTCCACTTAAAAATTGAGAGATGTCTTTGAAGACATTCAGTAGACCATCGAGACCAAAAACTGTCAAGCATTTGTCGTATTAATTGCCATCGAGATAGATGCGTGATCTTAACATCTTCGAGTGATGGCTCCGGCACGATGATAGGCGCATTACCTATGAGCTGGGGTTAGAACGTTTAGATCATCAGGATCATCTGTTAGGGCACACAACGGTCTTGAATTTAAGACTGCTTCAATTTGAGTAAGGAGGGTTGTCATTTCTTCGTACGTGAGGAGATGATCTCCGACAACTCTTCGTAGATGAAATTTTGTGGACTTTACTCCTGCTTCCCATTTACCTCCGAAGTGAGGCGCGGATGGAGGGTTAAAAATCCATTGTGTCCCATTGTTCGCTAACAGATTCGCAAGATCGCCAAGTTGCTTTGATGCTGCAGCAAATAGTTTTTTGAGCTCAGCGTCAGCTCCTTTAAGATTTGTTCCGCAATCACTATGAAGTGTAGCGCAGATTCCTCGTCTAGCAGTGAAACGCTTATAGGCAGCGATGAATGCTTGGGTGGAGTAATCGGTGACAAGCTCCAAGTGAATTGCTGATGTGGCATGGCAAACAAAGAGAGCGATATACGCTTTGTACTGACGAGCATTTTTACCTCGCTATGTCTTCAGTATGAGTGGTCCAGCATAATCGATTCCAGTATGGAGAAATGGCCTGGACGGTTTGACTGTAAAAGCTGGTAACTGGCCCATGAGTTGTTGAGCTCGTTGCTGGCGGTATCGCGCACATCGAACGCATTTTAAAATGAAGGACCGAACCGGAGTTCGACCTCCAACGATCCAGTAATGCTGTCGAATGAACGATAATGTGGCTTGCGTTCCTCCATGTAGTGTTTGTTGATGTGCCTCAGCAATAATCAGTGTAGATAGCGGTGATGACTTTGGTATTATGAGAGGGTGTTTCGCGTCGTTTGGGAGTAATGACGCTTGAAGACGCCCACCAAGACGAAGTAGACCTGTTGAATCTAAGAATGGAACAAGACGAACTAAATGATTAGATCGAGACAGATTCAATTCCTTCATCAATGTATCTATCTCTTTGTGCAAGCTAGTTTGTTGGACTTTGCCGATCCAAAATAGCTTTGCTTCTTCTAATTCGAGAGTGGTAATAGGCTTTGCTGTGATTGAAGAGTCTGGAGTTTTCTTCAAACGAAGAATGACTCTCCGACATAATGCTGTGACTCTGAATAATTTTGTCAAACTGGAGTACCGAAGAAGAAGGTCCCATGGTTCAGAAGTTCTGACAATTAAATTTGTGAGTACTTGAGACTTGCGTTCTTCGAGGTGAACTCGTTGAATAGTTTTGAATTTGTCAGTAGGCCAAAAAGATGAAAGTTGAGATAGCCATAAAGGTCCATTCAACCAGGCAGGATTTTCCTTTAGTTGGACAGATGATAATCCTCGTGTTGCGAGATCGGCCGGGTTTTCCTTTCCAGAAACAAACTTCCATAATGCATGTGGCAAGGTCTCTTGAATGAAGCATACTCTGTTTTGCACGAATTCTTTCCACTTAGATGGATGCTGGCTTATCCATGTATAAGTAACGGAGGAATCAGTCCATAAATATATTGGAGCTGATTGTAATTCAAGCACTTATATAACTTGAGTAGTTAGCTTTGTTAGAAGAACTGCTCCTGCTAGTTCAAGCCTCGGAATTGTGAGTCGTTTTAGAGGTGCAACTTTCGTTTTTGCACAAACCAGGGTGACCTTTGTATTTCCATCAGGAGATGTTGCTCGCAAGTATACGACTGCTGCCATAGCTCGCTGAGATGCATCACAAAACCCATGTATTTCGAGTTTCGTGTCAGAAGTGCTGCCTAACCATCTAGGAAAAGTCAAGCTTGAAATCTCCTGTAGATCTTGAAGAAAATTAATCCATTCAGCGGAAAGAGGTGATGGCAATGGATCATCCCATTCGAGCTTGAGAGACCACAATTCTTGCAATAAAATCTTTGCTTTTATACTGATGGGAGAAAGAAAACCGAGAGGATCAAAACACTTTGCTATGGTAGATAAAATAGATCGTTTGGTAACAGAACCAGTAGATATATTTTTGAATTGGAATTGGAAGGTATCCATTAACGGTTGCCAGAATAAACCTAAAATGTTTACCATGGTATTATCTTCGATGGCAACTGATGAAGAAAGGATCTTCTTATTTTGAATAAATGCTAATAACTCTGGGTGATTGCAGAACCATTTTTGCAGAGGGAAACCGCCTGCCATGCAGAGATTATTTAATTGCGTTACTATTTCTTGTGCTTGCTGAATAGAGTCAGCTCCTCCAAATATGTCGTCAACGTATCGTCCTTTGGTAAGGCTTGGCACTGCCAAAGGGTACTGGTCCCCGTGATCCTTGACCAGTTGTAATAAAGTACGGAGCGCAAGGAAGGGTGCACATGCTAGACCATAGGTTACAGTAGTCAATTGAAAAGCGGCAATATTATCGGACTGGTCAAACCAGAGTACTCGCTGAAAATTCCAATCATCGGAGTGTACCTTTATTTGTCGGTACATTATCTCTACATCTGTAGAAAAAACATAGAGAAATTTTCGCATCCAGATTAAAACATTGAACAAATCAGTTTGCAATTTCTCTCCGGTATGTAAAACT